CTAGGCAGTTTCTGTCTGGAGATTGATTCCTAATACAACGTGTGTCCCATTATATCGACATCTCTAAAGTACAATTCTATGTGATTTCTAGGGAGAACAATACAACCGATCCACACCTTCGTCAGGCAAAACGTTTATCCCGTGATCGTGGCTATGTTCGGCGACCAGTTGTCACCTCGAACACACTTTCGCTTTCACAAATATCAAACAATTACAAATGACAATTGCTTAATTACAGTTATGATAAAATCTAGGCTAAAGCATTAGAAGGCTTCCTCAAAATTGCAAAGGGAAGGCTCCGGTTTTCCTTTCATCTCCGACATATATATATAGACATACGTAAGTACAACATGTACACATAAAAGTTCTTTAGAATAACTTTCACTTTAATTTCATAAACACTTGCCCCGTGAACCAAGAAAAGTTGTTTAGAATGTAGACGTTGATAACATACTTGAAGGTTATTGAAATCGGTGAGGTACGCCATGATCAATACAATCACCATACTTTTGATCACTGTAGCAGACATTAATACTGAATTTTCATGATCGGCAGCTACATAATAGGACCAAACACAATTGTATGAATTATTTTAGTAAGCTTTCTCTGCTTATATTTCATACACAACATGTATATAATTCGCATATGCACTAGATAATCTTCCACTATCTGGTCAACATTTATTATAATTGTTCTTATAAAAGTTAGTATTACGATTTCATGTTAGTACATACTAAATTCATAAGTCTTTGTATGTAATAAAATATTGTTAAACTACTATAGATAGAAATGAAACTAAAGTAATTTTCTACCACATTTTATTTTTTCACTGTACATTATCTAATCTTTAGAAAAGTGAAAAAAATTAATCATGTCTCAATATCGTTTCAAACATGGCATATTTTGTTGCATATATCATTAACATATAAAAATATGTAACACAACATACAAAGATTCAAAGCTATTTCATGATTTTGTAGTTATAAGACTTGGTATATTATTTAAATCATACTAAACTCCAATGGCTTACCATAAAATATAACTAATCCTCATAAACATTGACATCAGTGATGTAACTGAGACATAATTGACATAAGTATAGCTAATGCTTTTAACAACTAAAAGCAGGCAATTAATAATACATAATTACAACAAAATATTTACTATAATAGCAGAGAGAAGTATTTATGTAGAAATGTTATATTATTAATTTGTAGGTAACAGTATGATTAATACAATATCGGTTGCACTTAGACGAAATTGAATATAAAACCTTGTTTCGTGTATTCGTTACTCACTACTTTTACGACACAACACACAGCGATCTTCGCACGACGACGATAAATTCAACTCCGACTTTCTCAACTCTCGTTACAATGTTTTCCATGCTCACTTTTTTCCAAACATACCTTGGTAACGCTTACAACACACTTTGACAACGTCAACATATCTTGACAAGGCTAATAAACAATTACCCCTCACGCCACGTCCTTCCCTGATGTCACGCTATTCCTGTGGGGATAGATAGTTGTGACTCGGCCATACCTGACAAACGCATCTGCCCTCAGATGTGCTCACCATCGCTACTTCCACTCGCGTCACTAACACTATCAATGTTCCACCGCTTCATATGATCAGCCGCCGTGGAGGTTGTTTGCGGCCCCTCGTGTTCGCCTTCACGTTGCACCATGTAGCGATCATTCCGCAAGACCTTCACCACGCGGTACGGCCCAAGGAATTTCGAATGCAACTTTAACCCTGGACCACCCTGTGTCCTCTTACCTAACCCCCGTCTTGTATGCTATCGCCTTCTTGCGTCTCTTGTTAAACGGCCTTCGCCAACAAGAGATCGAATTGATAGCTTGTCTTCGCACTACCTCTAATTTTCCCGTAGCCGCCTCATTTTCGCTCTCCATACGCTTCTTAGAATTCGCGCTAGAACTTGTTTGTTCGTCTCTACAATTCTCACGATACTCTGTACATCCTACGAAAACTTCATCGCAACTGTCCGTGTCGTTTCCACCCGACGCTACCGCGGTTATGTTCGTCGCAACCGATTCATATAATAAAATTTTGCTCATTACGACGGTGTCCTTGAGACAAGTACTCGTGGGAACTATAATTGCCGTACATTCTCTACTATTCTTCTCGATAGGAATATGAAGTGATCCGTTCCTTTTTCAATTACGATCGGGCTTGCAAATTCAGATTGAGACTGATCTATTACTTCGTCTTGCTGTACTTCTATATCTACTTTAAACACCTCCGGGAGTCTAATCTTTTCCCTCTACTTTACGAATAGAAGCATTTCCTTCCTTTATGTTTAATTCGACAGTATTCAAGAAGTCTGTAGCAATTATCAATGAGTGTTGCATCAAGGTACCTGAAACTACATGTATCGTTATATCGTACGACTCATTATCTATCAAAATATTCGTCGAAAATTCTCCGAGTGTACAATTTTTTTCGGACCCGATACCGCGAAACTCAACAATTTCTTTACTTAATGTGGGCGCTCCAATTTTTACATACTGATCGGCTCTCATTAAGGTTAACTCGCTACCAGTGTCTATCAGCGCACTCAATTCGAAATTTCCGATCTTCACATCTTTACCACGCTTCGTCGGTAATAATCGGAACACGCTACCAGCCCCTTTAAAGGACTCGCTTAGGTTGTCGCACTTCGATGCGATGTGTCCGAATTCTCTACATTTAAAACATTTAGGGCCTCTCGATTTGTTCGGACAATCTGCACTCACATGTTCTCTATCATCACAATTATGACACCTTCCATACTTCACTACACTTCCAGATTGCCTGTATTTCCTGTTATCCTCAGCTCTGATCTGTCTCACAGTTGACTCTGTTACGGAGGATTTTTGTTCCTCATAGATAATTAGATTTTCCTTTAGTTCTTTCATTGATTTAGCCCCGTAAAGTATTGCTGTGTTGACTTCTTTGTCTCTTATTCCAACTACGATGTACCGCATTTTTGCTGCTTCTTCCATATCTATGTGACTAGCTGTTCCAAGCATTCTATACATGTACGCTGTACATCATTCGTCATCTGTTTTTTTTTTTTTTTTTTGTTTCTTGAAGTCAAGTTATTTGCCAAGTATTAAGTTTTTTCGAAAATTCTTTTATTAGTCCTCTTTTTAATTCACGC